TTTTAGATTCTTCATGATCTGTTGACATTTTTATTTTGCGCATAATTCCGGCATAATTTTCATTTATTTGGACCGATATTGCTGTAAGGGCGGATCAAAATAAATTTCATTGTATATTTGTTATCAGCAATAGTAAACAGATGCATTTTTCCGTCGTAATTTTTGCTTGATATCTTCGTTAAATTATAAAGTTGCAATTTTTAGTCATAACAAGAAGTACGATTTTATTTATCCATCAAACTATTTTGTATTTTCCATTTCCGCTATTGCTCAAATATCAACCATTTGTTATTTTGATAATAAATGAATTATTGTTTTTTCTTTCTTAATGAATTTAACTTCAAACATTACAAACTTATTTCTATAATTTTATAATTTTAAAAGTTAATATAAACGAACAAATAGTTAAAAGTAGTATAGGGATGGTTGAATATTATCGTAAGAAAGTTTGAAAATAGAAAAAATGAAAAAGTGGAAGTATTATTTTCATTTTTATTTTTGATAACTTTTCGGTGATTCTATCCGATCATCATTATCATCTACAATAACGGAATATTTGATATTATCATTGGGAAAATCATTTTTTACAGTTAAATTCTTTTCATTTACAAGCATATTCTTTTCGTGATCTTTGTTCAAAATTACGAAAAATTCAATTAGGAGTAATATTTTTTTGAATTTGCTTGGTGACATTTAAACAAAAGTTGACATTTCTGGATATTTGACAAAATTTGATAAAGTTTGTTTTTTTTCTTTTGCACCAGATACTTCTTTCATTTTTCTTTTTTCTTTTTTTTCTCTTTTTTGCTGAATGAATTATTACTGTGAAATGAGAAGATTTTCATATTAAATGAAATAAATATACATTGGAAATAGTTCATATATTTTTAAAATCGAATTTATCATTTAATATTTTATTCCCCATTTGAAGTTTCCGTCTGCAAAAGAAAGTTTGCTTGAAAATTAATGGATTAAAACAATCCATATCCTTTTTTTCTTTTCTTTTTTTTTTTAATATTAATAAACTGTCGGCGAATTTCTTTTCAATTTCAGTTTTAAATATCGTGAACAGAAATTGAAGCGGAAACAGAAATTCTTTCCGGAAATGAAAAAAGATTTATTAAAATAGTTGAATGAATATGAATGACTTATTTTTATATTTTGTGAAAAAAAAAATTATAGATCAAAATTTGAAAAGGAAAGATGCTATTACAATGCAATAAAGAGTGATGATGTAGGAAATAAAAAGGGAAAGACAAGAAGAAAGAAAGGGGGAGAGAGAGAGAGAGAAGAAAAAAAAGAAAGGAAGAAAGATTAAAGAAGGAGTTGATTAATATTCAATAGTAGTTAAATAACAAGAAATTAGAAGGCGTTAATTATTTTACTTTAAAAAATAAAAAAATTTTTGTTTATCAAATAGGTAGAAGAAGAAGAAAGAGAGGGAGAAAGAGGAAGAAAGAAAGAGAGAGTGAGAGAGAGGTAAAGAAGAGAAAGATATGAAAATAACATATGAGATCATTTTGCATTTGACATATCAATCCTTCTTTAACAAATCATCAAATAATCCATCTAATTTTTTGTCACTGTTCTCTTACAATTTGCAAACATTGTTAATGTTTTATTCAATGATTTGAAGAAAGATTTTAGATCAAAGAATAATTTTTATCAATTCATTGTTAAACCTAAGAGTTATATCAATTATCACTAAAATGTTTTTAATGCAAACATTTGCTTTTTTTTTTTTTTCTTTTAATGGATATATTTATTAATTAATTTCTATGGATGCATTTGTATTAGCTCTAATTGATATATTTCAATTAGCTTCTATGGAGTATATTTTAATTAACTTTCATGAATGTGTCATTTTCATTCTACCATAGATTGTCTTCTTTTTATCATTTCCAAATTATGCTTTCTTTGATCAGGTAAGAGAATTGATCTTTGATTTTTGATCAGGTTAAAAATTTTCAAAAAATGGAAAATGTTGCATACTGTTTAAAATCAAACTGTAAAATTTATGTGCATGTAGAGAAAAAAAAAAAGGTTGTGCACATCGCTGAATAAATTTCGACCTTTATTATGCAAATATGTAATTAATGTTTGCATGACATTTGCGAAATCGATTGAGTAAATTAGCGGAAGTATGAAGGTGACAAGTCATAAAAGTGACGTTTACCATAATTGGTGAAATTTGTTAGCATAATCCATATGCAGGTATATATATATATATATCAAACAGATATAACTAACTGATAACTAACATAATAGTAATTATTTTCATAATGAATGGATCTAATTAAATTCGAATAAAACTATCTATTAATGAATAAATGAAAAATTTATAATACGCCGAATTTTAATTTAATCGGATTTTTGCTTATTAGTTCGATTCATTTCTTATTATTTTAAAATAAATTTATGATAATTCTTGTACTTTAACAATAATAATATATCACAAAGTAATGACAATTATGGAATAAATATATAAATATAAATATATATATATATATATATATATATATATTATGTGTGTGTACGTGTGTATGTGTATGTGTGTATGTGTATGTGTGTGAATGATGATATTAATTAGGAAAAAAGTTAATGAAACGTTGAAATGTGACCAAATTAACAAATTGTTATCATTTTGTTTATTTTCTTTTTTTTTTGTAAATTTGTTTGAAAAAATTACTAATTATTGGACAAATTTTTAATCGAAATAATAACAAGAATGTGTGTTTACGAATTTCAAATATGAATCAGAGAAATGTTTTTATTGAAGGATGAAAAAAAAAAAGAAACAGTGGCCTGGACTTATGCCAAGTTTAGTTTATTTGAATGAGCCACCGATCAATGATCACTGAAGAGAAAGGGTGGCAGTAATCGGCATTGAAAGCGTGGAAGAGCTAAGAGGAATGAAATTGTTTGTTATGCAGACGTCGTAACATTCCATCGATAGGTTAGTAGTAGCAGTAGTAGTAATGGTAAGTGCAGCTGTAGTAGTAGTAGTGTAGTGGTTAGTAGTAGTAGTAGTGGTTAGTAGTAGTAGTAGTAGTAGTAGTAGTAGTAA